TTCACGGTTTAGGGTTTAGGGTTTCTCGCGGAATTTTGAGGGCCTTCCGGTATCAAGTTGCCGGTAATATGACCTGATTCACGAGAGCCAAATTTCGAGGCGCTTTAAGATTTCGGGGGAACCCTAGGAAAGCGCATCGTCCCGAACTATGCGGACCGAGGAGACCCCTTCTTTTCATCCTCCGTGTCGGTGCCACCAAACTGCAGCCTTAAACCCTATGCCAGCACCCTCCCACGTTAGGGCTTGAGTACCCTGCAATTCAGAACCACTAGGCTTCTCTTGAGGGGTCCTGGGGGGGGGGGGGGGGGGGGTGCGCTAAAGATCCCATCTTCATCCAAGGATCGGCGCTACCGCCGCCATGGCGACGTCGAGCGCGTGGCACTCCTTCGTACTCTGGCGGCGCTGCCGCCGCTGGAGAGGTCCGGAACTAAGGCTCTGTCTGTAGACTTTCCAAAGGGTAGTTACTGCACGAGTTTTGCATGAGTTCTGTGAGGAATACGTGGGCTTGTTACACGGTTTCGGGTTTCGGTAGTTCTCTTGTGATTGTTTGTGTTTGGCAGATGGGCAATTAGGTAGGTGTAGGGTTTTATAGAGCTTCTTATCAACCTCGAAGCCCTTCAGCCCGAAATGCTGAGTCCTTCAAGGCTTCTAATTGGCACCCGGTGAAAAGTTCATCCGGCCCCAGCACACCACAGAGCCAAATATAAACGCCATGCAAGATCGGAAATGTCTTCAACCCTTAGACTCCGAAGCGGGGTCTTGCTTCTGCTCAATGGGGGCTCCCTCTGCGCACCTTTCTTGCAGGGATGGCATCAAGAGAAAGTTGATCCAAACCAAAGAACGAAACCCTAAACCGGAGGTTCATCTTGATTCTGATGGGGTTTTTCTGTCCTGTGAATGCATACAAATTCGGCTTCGCGTTGCCAGCCTGCTAACCGCTGCTAACCCCGCTTGGCTCGCCGAGAGTGCTTGGCACAAAAACTCCAAACCGCTAGCGCAATGAGGAGGTCGGTGACCGGCACAGTCGACCTTTATGTGGACCGGGCTGTTTGCCTTTCCTGCTTAGGCGGGGCAGTTGAGGAGAAGGACTTGTTTCAGAGTCTGTGGGCTCAGGGGCACAGTTTGGGGGTATATTGGGCTAATCACACTTATCGGACTTATCGTAAGGAACCGTCAGGAATTCTATTGATATGTGTAGACAATCATTTAGTTAGGCAGTTAGGCCCCTCTATCAGGACAATAAATTCGGGCACCAGGCTTCATGCTGTGATGTAGGGGAGCTTTAAGCTGTTGGGGTTGAGTGCATCTTTAGTGCTCTTAGGAATCATTCGTTAAAACTTTTGCACTGAAACACCACGGGATTGTAAAACATAGTATGTTTATTGTGGTTCTAAGAGCACTTTCTGCATGTTCTGAGTCTGCTGATGTTGGGTCCCTAAGCCCTATATAACCCTAAACCCTAAACCGCTTAACCCTAAGCCATATATAACCCTAAACCTATATAACCCTAAACCCTAAGCCCTATATAACCCTACACATGAACTCTAAACCCTAAACCTCTAAACACTAAACCCCTAGACCCTAAACCCCTGTTTGGATACTGCTACTGTACTGATGATTGGGGGCGGTGATGCAACAGAATAGCACCCTAAGCTGATGTTGCGCCGGCTTCCAGACCTGTCTGTCTCATGTGAAAGCCATGCCGCCCGCAGCGCATCTAGGACCACGGCTTCGGGTTATGATAGGGCTGATAGGGTTTAGGGTTGAGGGTTGAAGGTTTTTGGTTGTGGAATGATAGGGTTTATGGTTGAGGGTTGAAGTTGTTTGGTTGTGGAATTCCTTACCTTACACTCCGCCTGGAAACTCACATTCCCAACAGTGCATGGTATCACCTGCTGAGTGTTGAGGGTTTAGGGACATCATGTTTCCATGACGCCACATCCAATCTCCATCCCATGGCACCCAAATTGAGAAAGCCACCTTGTGCCCCTCAACATCCGCGCTTTTACGACATCCTGGTGCGAAGGGCAGCACACCTGCAATGCCAGGATAAGTGTTCATGGGACTTAGTACGGTGTTATCGCCGGGGTAGCTACGCTTGTAGATAGAAACCTACTATAAACATGGTCCCAGGCTTAAGTTACCCACAGCCATGCTCACAAAGTCCCATGGTCCTTACCCTAAAACCTAAACCCTAAGCCCTTAACTCTGACATTTGTTCAGTTGGGTTTGGCCTTGAGTTCCAGAAGAATGCATACCTTCTTGGGGTCCCCTCAACAACGTTTTCTTGTCCGACGAAACTCCCTGCGGTGCGACTTTGTCAGCTGGGCGGGTGGGAAAACAAATTCTGACAGGCATTCTTCGACAGTTTCATGAGCTTCTACCGAAGGCCGAGGCAAGCTTTTGAGGGGCAGTGTCGGTTTTAGGGGGTTTAGGGTTTAGGGTTTAGGAAGGGCAGGAGGTGGTTTGGGGGGGTTCCTTTGTCGCCATCTTCGAAGCTTGTTTCAGTGCGCACTTCGTTTGATTTCGAAGATGCTCCTGTTGTCCGCAACACGGACTATGGATGAGAAAGGACGACTTTGCTCTCTTAGTAGGGTCCAGATGGCTTAGCCTCGCCTGGATAGCGCCGAAACTCTAAATCCTCAACCCTAAACCCTAAACCCTATACCTTCACCCTAAAAACTCTCCTCCCCCAGCTCCGGCTCGCCGTCGCCGGGCCACCTTTCTTCCGACACTTCGCCAGCCGGCAGAAGGGCGGCGTGGAGCGAGAGCCGTGCCAGGACACGGCATTTAGAGTTTAGATTTTACTCGTAGGATTTGCGGTTTAGTGTTTAAGGTTTACAGTAGGGTCTACGGTGTTTTTTTAGGGGGGTTCTACAGGAGTAAGTGAACCAAGTTCTTTAACAGGTCTCTACAAGGAAACTTCAAGACGTCTTCTGACAGGGTTTATGCAAGGGTGCTACTAGTCTTTACGGCACAAGGAGGTTGCGAGGTTAGGTTGAGGGTTTATTGGGCAGTGCCTTACAGGGAGATCCCCCGTTGTTTACACAGGGTTAAGGGTTTAGGGCTTGGGGTTTAGGCTCTAGCAGATGTTGCAGTTTGGGTCCTGCGATACCGAAATGCCGAAAACTTACACGACCGTGTAGTCAGACTTCTTGAATGTAGAAGCATTCTAGGCCTCCTTTCGGTGAAGAATTGTGCCACGTCGCCTTAGCCTGCAAGGCTGCAAAACGGTAAATCGGCGCGGTGGTACCTCCGTGAGATTTATCAGGGGTCCTTGCTGAGGTCCCCTTACCCCCCAAACCCGGCTGTGACTGTGCGAGTGCATTGCCGAGATGCCCTTCTTCCTTTCAGTTTGGCTCGTCGGTTTCTGGGGTGAGACTGGTGGGTATAAAGCGGCATAGGGGTTTTGTGTCAGGAAACCCTGCCTAGAACCGACACCACCAAAGCTTTAAACCATGGGCTTAACATAGGGCCTTAATAATTACCTATACTATTTTGGTGGTTCCTTGGTAGAATTATAGTAGGAGGGGCCCCAAAACCCTGTTCCCTATATTAGGTGCATGCCCGGACTGGTTTACTATCAGGACCCAACGACCCTGGTCAAGTGCCCTCAGCCCCTTATAACTTATCATGCAGGACACCTCGCTGAGAGAGGGCGACATCAGCGCCTGGGTGCCTCGGACGAAGAGCTTGACATAATGATGACGACGACAAGATCAATAACAGTAACAATGGTCAGACGAAGAGTCATGTGTCTTGCGATTAATAATTCCTTGAACCCTAAACCCTAAACCCTAAACCCTAAACCCTAAACCCTAATTAATCATGTTGGTAACTCCGGTGGCCTCGAGTGCACTTGCGGAGCGACTTGCAAAGGGCCAGTAGATCGGCAAATTGCCTGAGGTCTTGCACGAGTATTTTGGGTACTACAGTATGGGCTCCTCTTAGCCACACCCTAAATCACGTTATGTTTCGGTCTTTGTATGGCCCTGATGCCCTAAACCCCTAATGCCCGAAAAGCCTTAAACCCTTAGACCCTGCCCCCCCCCCCCCAGGGTAAAAGAGTTGGGGTTTACCTGTAGGGTTAAACCCTACCCCTTCTGTCGGGTACCGATACTTGGGTATGAGTCTCTGGGTATGGCTCAGGGAAGTTACTCTTGTGGAAAAGCCTAGGGACATAAACACGCATGCAAGAGGGCCGGTCGAGGGTCCCTTGCCCTAGTTTACCTGGACCCTATGAAACCGACATATGTGGGCTTCCTTATGCTGAGTTCTTCATCTAAGTCCTTGTATAATTAAAAAGGTAGTCTGCTTGGGGTTCAGGTAAGGCATGCACCCTTTAGTTGGGATTCCCATATTCGGGATCACATTTGGGAATCCAATACCGTGCAATCTTATGGAAGCCCATTTCGGCCTCCAATCACTAGTGGCCCCATGCCATAGTGACGTGGCGCAAGGTACAACTGCCCACATGCAGCAGAGAAGTTCTTTTAGGGGCCTTATATAATAATTAGAATAGGGAATAGGGTATTTTGCACTATAATTATAATAAGGAGCCTCCAAAACCTTCTAATTATTATAAGGCCCCTACATTAGGTGGTCCGAAGAGGCAACCCCAGAAAGTGAAAGCCCGGAGCCTAGAAGCTCTAGCCTGCAAATCAGTAGTTGGGGCTTCCGGGAAGGATCAGGGTTTTTGGGGTTCCGGGCTTCAGGTTTAGGGTTCAGGGGTTCAGACAGAGTGTTGGTTGTCTTGAAGATCACACGCGCCTCATCGGACGCTTGGCTTCAGGATCCGTGAAGACGAACATCGCACCCATAGCCGTTGAGCTGCCGATCGCCTTCCCTCAGGACCGATTTTTGATTTTCGGCTGCCGATGGGTCGGGTTGTTTGGAGCCGTCTTGATGTTGAATTCGGGAGCAGGAAGTGTTGACTGAGAACGCATGAGGCTTTTGGGATGGAGGCGCGGTGTTTGGGTGAAGGCTGCGGTGTTGAGGGCTTCTATGACCTATGACTTATATTCCTGTATAGGTTCGGCAAGGGTTTTAGGGTAAATGGCTCAGACATTTGAGTTCAAGATTTTCACCGTCCACGAACTAAAGCTAACATGAAAGATCCCCACGGCCGGAAGTCAACATGAACAATCGCGACGGCCCGCTTTCAGGTGCAAAACTCCCTTGAACACCAAATCCACGCTTATCTAAACCCACAATCCGGAACCCCCAAACTCCACCCTAAAGGGAGCGGTTTGGGCCGGGGGGAACTTCAGGAAGCCGTGACTTCTGGAGGATGGAGAACCCGTGGCATTCCGTGGTCGAGCGCGAGCACCTGGAGAGGAGGAGCTTTGGGGCTTATGCTTATAGTCTCCATTGTAGTTCCTGTTTGTGGTGATGTTCTAGGATTCGAAATTTATAGCTGGTGAAGCCAAAAAAAGGAAGTACACTGGAGACTGAGGTAGGGGCTTAGAGTTTGGGCCTTCGGCAGGGCCAAAGGACTTTAGGGTTGACAGGGCTCTGGGGTTGTAGCGTCCAGGATGAGCAATTCGGGTTTATGAGGGATGTTCCCTAAACCCCTAAACCCTAAACCCTAAACCTCTGAACCCTTAAACCCCTAAACCCTAAAACCTAAACCCCTAAACCCCTAAACCCACCCCTAAATCCTAAACCCTCTGCGTAGGGGTAGGAGGGTATCTGCATAAAGCTCACGTGAGGCTCCGAGGTTCTCCTTGTCTTTTAGGGTTTAGGGTTTAGGGTTTAGGGTTTAGGGTTTAGGCTGAATTTTAGAGCCCAGGGCTTGTAGGGTTTAATGTAGGGGCCTGAATAAGTAGAGTAGAGTTTTTTGGGCTCCTTGTTATAATTGTAGTATAATACTATACCCCAAACCCTATTCTAATTATTCAGGCCCCTCTATTAAAGGGTTTAGGCAGAAGTTGGTTGTGGGAGAGCGCTGATGCCCTAATGCAGAAGCCTGTATACTAAGTCACACTCTTCTTCAGGCAGCCTTACCGCGTACCCCTTTCCCTCATGAGCCGGATGCAATGTTTGTGCCGAAACAGTGGTCGTTACAGCAGCGATGTCCCTTTCGAATCCGAGGTATTTCACCTCAAATCGCGCACCCTGACTTCGAGCTTTATCCAAGCTCTTGTACCTGAAGCCGAAGCCCCAACAAGCCAGATATCATTCAGCCAGGTGCCTGGAGTCCCGGAACTTCTTGGAGGAGGAGGAGGTCCGAAGTGAGGACCGTGTCGCAGAAAGACTGCAAGGATAGAGGCGCATGGCGGCGGCGACGCACCGGCGGCCTGGGCCTAGATTGCTGACGCCCCAAGCATTTGTGCTTGGCTCGCACGACCACCCCCAAATCCTATCCAGAGCAGATTGCGGGCAATGGCTGTTGCGCACTGGCCTCCGTATAGTCTGACCTTTTGAGATGCTCGCATCGCAAATGCATTGCTTCGGCCTTATTGGGCAGTTGCCAAAAGCCGCAGGCCGGAAACCCTTCTCGAGTGTCACAGATGCGGCTGGCCAGGTTGGCACCTGGTATGCCTGGTGGAAAAGCGACCGTGACGGGAGTGCTGCCTTTAAAGGGCGCAAGCTTTCAGGTTGTACCTAGAGTCTCCATTGTAGTTCTTTTTTGGGGATATCTTATAAAATCCTGAATATATAACTGGTTAAACCCAAAAAAGGAACTATAATGGAGACTATAGGTAGGACTCTGGGCCTTGAAGGGTTTCTCGGCTTTGTGTGTAAAAGATCTGGGGCTTACAAGGGTCTAGGGCGTCCCTGGGGTGAGGGCATTCCGGTAGGCCGCTGTGCGCAGTCGAGGTTGGCGCAGAAAGCCAAAACAAGTCGCACTCGAGTTAGGCTTGGCGAGGGGTTACCATGCTCAGCACGAGGAATGTCATTCAAGGCCCCTGCATCGCGATTTTCCTGCACATCCGCAAAGGTGAAAGCGTTAAGATTCAATTGTCCCACAGGTCCCGCAAGGCAAACCCCTCAAGCCGGGGATGCTGTGGAGATTTTGGAGTTTCCGAAGACAAGGGGTACCTTTATGTTGGGGTCGTTTAGAATAAGGATCCTACTATTTAGGGTACTATAATAGGGTTGCCTAGTTTCGGCAACCCCATTTAGGAAGTCTTCCTTGCATGAAGAGCCTGCGACCCTTGATCAGCAATCTCGGCTAGGACTCTCGCAGAAGAGGGTGTTGCCGGTAAGACATTGAATCATCCTGAGGACAGCCCCTTAGTTATACTGTAGGTGCAGATAGTCAATTTAAGCGCCATAACCGCAAGCCAGGAACTCCTGCCAGGAACTCTAGAAGTTTGAGTAGATGCTCCATGGGCGGACCCGTGGTGGCTCCAGGAAACCCCGAAACCGGAAGCCCAAGTTGCTTTAGAGCACAAGGCACGAGGGTAGGGGTCGTGCCGGTCGCATCGGTACAAGCACTGAGGGCAGCCCTTAGGCCCAAAAACCTAAAGCTCCAAACCCAGAAGCCCTAAACCCCACCCGAGACCCTCTTCCATGAGGGTAGTTGTCAAAATTATAGTCCCTTTTGGGGTACCCTAAATAATAGGTGCCGTATTATAATAAGGACCCAAAAAGGACCATAATTTTGACAACCACCCATGAGGTCCGGGGCTTCGTTGTCGACCTTGGTTTCTGATTACATACCCTCCATTCGAAGGCCGGGTCCTGGGGGCCTGAAATGTTGGATGAAGCTAGCAGAGGGTTCATGTAGTTATATGTTATATAGTATGTAGTTTGGCCTTAAAGTAGTCCCTGTATGGATACTTTGGGCCCAAATATTAGGGTTTAGGGTTTAGGATAAGCCATTTGGGTACATGGAGCCTTAGGGATCGTTGGGCTTAAGAATCCCTTGTATTTGGGCTTTTGGCTGGGATGGCACGACCTGCATTGATCTTTGCCAGGGAATTACAGGGTCAGGGGGCTTCATGAGCATGGTTAAAAGCACCTTGGTTTAATGCGTGGTAAGGGCTGCATAAGTGTAGTTACGCCAATGACTCCTCAACGGTCCATGCTAAAGTGTGTATCACTTTGGCCTTAAACGAGTGAAAAAGGAATCACGTATTTTTCTGTATATATTTGTATTTGTACATGCATCTGCAAATGTATGTATATATATGTATATATACACATAAAGAGAGAGAGAGAGAGAGAGAGAGAGAGTGTGTGTGTGTGTGTGTAAATATGGGCAGATAGAAATTTAAGGTAAACCGGTAAACCTTTCTCTTGCTACGTCCCTGATCCTCTGAGTACTGTAAGGTCGGCGAGCCCTTCTCAGGCCTAACGTCCTCATGGTGAGTGCAGAGTCGACGGGACATTGCGGGATCCGGGCCCTAACATAGACCCTAAACTACGGGGTTTGGTCTTGCTCTAAGAATCCCCGTGTAATCTGTGTCTTAGATGGTTTGGCTTGTAGCAGCGGAACAGGACAGCAGATGAAGCCGTGTTTTGTTTGGTTCCGTGTTGTCTATGTAACTTGCCGGATTGGAGGTGGTTGCGCGTTGCATCTTGGCGATTGCGCGCGTAAACCGCAACTCGCTGATTTCACATACATCCTATATACACCCTTCGAGAACTCTATAACTCTAAACCCTAATATAGGAGCCTCAATAATTACCAATTCTATTTTGGGGGCTCCAAATTACAATAATTGTGTAATGGGCCCCAAAACCCTGTTCTAACTAGCTCCTACATCATCAGGGCGAAACTCTAGAGATGAAGGTTGAGGCTTAAGTTTAAGGCTTAGGGTTTAGGGTTTTTAGGGCTTAGGGTTTAAGGCCCATATAAAACCCACAAATGCTTCGTTCGTTCCCTTAGGCCGTAGCTTTGTGGCGAGTGAATTAGTTCCCACCGCAGAGACAAGTGAAGAGTTCTGTGTGCATATGCCCAACATCGAGTCCACATTGCTCCGGGGTGCAGAGAACCTGCAACTACACCCTAATTTCTAAATCCTAACCCCTATAAACCCTAAACCCCCAAACCCCCGCCTTTACCGGCTCCCGCGAGGCTACAGCTCTTGTCCATGCTTGGAGTCGTCGCCTTTACCCTGGCCTCCCTCACTGCCGCCACCAGCAGCGTACACGCCAACTAGCCGCAGATTAGGGCGTAGGGTTTAGGGTAAAAAGGGGTTTGGGTTGAGGGTTTTGGGGTACTGGCACCACTAAGTATCTGACAGCAACAGCAGCAACAAGGCGACAACGACAACGCGGATAGCAATACAATCAACGATAATCCCGTCGCCGGTTTGCGAGGGCGTGCAGGTTTTGCATCAGCATCAAGAAGAGGGTCGTAGAATTTCTGCGGTCCTTACCTCAGGTTTGCTTTATGAGCTTCTTGCTCTTCGAGTTCTGCGTCGGCATCTACTTCCCATCAGTGGGCACCGTGAAGAGCGAACTAGTTCCAGACACCTGGTTGCAATTTAAAGAGCAACGCCGAAACCTTCGAAGCCCCATACAGTATGATCAGGACACTTAGGGACTGTCGACGTTCAGATAATCAAAGTTGGCGATTGCCGACGAAATAGGATCATGTCCGTCAGAATGCCTTGTGTGACACTTCTTGAGGGTTTGGCACATATGGTTTCATGGGCGAAAGCCGGGAATGGAGACATGTCATTCAAGTACTAAAGCGACCGCTTGAGTTCAGAATACGGTGGCTCAGGGAGTTGTGAGTCTACATAAAGCTTTGAGGTGGCCCGTTTCAGTGGAGGGTTCACCCCGGGCCCTGCTTCTTGAATGCTAACTAAGCGCAGGACATATGGTCAGGCTGTATATGGCTACT